TGAAGTTGAGGTTCTCGTCGATGAGGTGGAGTCTCAAGTCACGAGCATGTGGTATGACAGGTGATGGAAGCTCATGCACTTGATGCAGATAACGTCTCCACCCTCGAGACCTATTCTTCTCTTCTCTCGTCTCATTGCCCCAAACCAGATATAACAGCATCGATTGACCACCATCGCGTCCACCAAGAGGGACCGATGTCGACGTGGCCTTGGTCTGGCAAAGAGACACAGCAAATGGGTCCTTGCTAAGTAGTTCCTCGAAGTTTGGTGGGGAAATTACTTGCAACTCATGGCCGGTGTAGGCCTCTTCCACCTTAACTTCGTCCTCAGCCTAGACGCCAATTGCTTCTTCAACCTCCATTTCTTCTTCATGTGGTATCACCCCTGGGAAATGATCAAGAACTCCTTCTGCTTCACTTTCGTCATCCTCCACAACTTCTTTCTGCACCCTTTCTTGCTCTTCTTCTTCTAGCACAGATTGGAGAGCAAGTCGCCATGTAATTTCTTCAATGATATCATCTTGCATCTCCTCGCTCGGGCCGAGCATATCAGAGCGGAAATGGGGACAGTTGTGATCTACCACCAGAGGATACACTTGATCATGATTATCATGGGAGCTTTTCGTGACAACTTCTGCAAGCTCCTGAACATCCTCATGATTGCCTTCTTCTTCCTCCTCCTCTACTTGTATGGCAGCATAAAGGTTGTCTTGAGAAAACTGTGCACAAGCTTTCTCAATGACCTCTATGTGCTTCTTTATGTTCCGAAGGGTATCCTCTGTTTCACGGGGAAAGGAGAATTCAGTTTGGGCCATGGCCTGGATATGAGGATCCATCTCGGGAAAGGATCTCTCAGGTACTCGAGCAATCTGCTCCACGAGAAGCCTCAAGTGATAGTTTGGATCTGGCTGTGGAGTAAAGCATGGCTGTGCAGAATGGCCCGTGAAGGCCGCCATGGGTAACTCCAGCTCCGATAGCCCTTCTGGTTGTGGGAGAAATTCTTCTCGGTAATGAGGTTGTTCTTGATAAGCCCAGGGGTCTGATTGTTCTCCGTAGTAAGGGGGTTGGTACTGGAACCCGAATTCATAGTCTTCTCCTCCTTGATTGCTCCAGGGAGTCTCGGGGTAATAGCACTCGGATGGTGGTGGATACCCCCAATGGTTGAAGAAGCCATGAGGATCCATGATTTAGATCTGCACCAACAAAAACAAAAAACACCCAAGTGAAAAGCAAGGGTGGAAAAGAAAATAAAATAAAAAACGCTAAAGTAACAAACTTCTGCCTTTCCTAATAATCTAGAAGGTCCCCGGCAACGGCGCCAAAAACTTGACTCGCTACGACACAACACCTAACAATGGCCAAGTGTAACCAATGAAAGGGACTGCAGTATAGTGGCACAAGTAATAAATATCTAATCCACGGGTCTGTAGAGTTACTATTACTCAGCTTTCAGTTCATTATCTAGTAAACTAGATTAAGGATTGATTTATAAACTACTCTACTGACTACTCTACTAATTACAAGTTGGGAACTCACTTAGGTATGATTCCCCCTAGCTCCTCAATTAGGTCCAAATTGCAATTACCTTTGGTTGATCTACTGTTGATTAAACTGCGGAAGATCCTAAATTAGCTTGGAATCTCTTAAGCTGACCAAGCCCTCTTAGACATAATACCCGGCAGGCGACTAGCCTTCACCGAGATAGACTGCTAAGGCGATTCACACAGATCTCCACTACTGGAATGAATTACAGTACAAAGTAGTGAATTGATTGACTCTCGCACAACCAATTCACCACTATCAATCAAGGAAGCTCTCTTAACCTAATCAGATTCTATCTATCATAGGTTAAAGCAGAAATCAAGAGAATTTGATCAAGATTCAATTGACTCAATAAATTATGCCTCAATCGATTATAATCAAACAATATAGCATCCAAAACTTCATACAAGAAAGATCCTAACACATGGAACTAGGGTTCCTCAAAACCTAAGTAAAGGGAAGTTACTCCATAGAGAAGAGAGAAACTGCAGAAATCTGATCTAGATCTTCAATCTCCATCTCCAAGCTTGATTCCCGAGCTCCAATGGCGAAGAAATCCTCCAAAATTGCTCCAAGAATGTTCCCAACTCGCTCTCTCTCTCTAGGGTTCGTCCCTTGGGTGTTTGGGATCCAAAACCCAGCTCTCTCTCTCCTTTGGCTCGACATTGGCTTAAAACCAGAAATTCCCGACTCACACGGCCGTGTGACTTTCCCAGCTGCCCATGTGAGTGTCCAAACGCGGCGTTTCGATTAGTGGGCAACCAGGCAAGCTGCACGGGCAGAGGCCACACGGCCGTGTGGCTCCCAAGGCTGCCTGTGTGGCCTTTACCGAGCCTTCACACGGCCACAAGGGGCCCCTACACGACCGTGTGAGGTGCAATGGTGCCCGTGTGGCTTCCCAGCTTCTCGCCAAACGTCCAATCTTCGTCCAATCGACCCCGAACTCATTCCTAGGCCTTCATTCATGTGCTAGGACCTGAAATATCACAAACACGAACAACCTAGCGTGAAATCGGCCTAAAACGCGGGAATCGAAATCTCAAACGGCTCAAGAATAGGGGTAGAAACATGTGTAATTATTGGTCTATCAGTGGCCCTGTCAACGTTCGGGGACACAAACATCAGGGACTTGGCGTAGTTGACCTGTTGTCCAGAACTGGAGCAAAAGTCGTCTAGACATTGCTTGATTATCCTGATTTGCCTCGTCTCAGCCTCCGCAAAAAGCAGAAGATCATCTGTAAAGAAAAGATGAGTGAGGGGCAGTCCATCCCTAGTGAGCTTAATGGGCTTCCATTGACCACTAAGGAGAGCCGCATCGATTCTATGAGATAAACGCTCCATACATAGAACAAAGAGATAGGGGAAAGAGGATCTCCCTGGCGAACTCCGCGAGTAGGTGTGATGGGGGAGGACAAGGTGTCATTCCAGAGAACGCGCATCCTATTCTGCTCCACACAATACATGATACCTCGGATCCAAGCACTGGGAAGCCCCACTTCCTTCAAAGTATCGCAAAGGAAGTCCCATCTCACCAAATCGTACGCTTTCTCAAGGTCGATCTTAAGAACCATACCCCCTTTCTTTCCCTTCCTCTTCCCAAGAGAGTGGAGGACCTCCTGGAACACTATAACATTATCTATAGTCTGCCGCCCGGGGACAAAAATGCTCTGGCGAGGGGAAACGAGCTTCCTCATGACCGGATTTAGCCTACTCGTAATAGCTTTGGTAATGGCTTTGAGACTCACATTATTAAGCGAGATAGGCCGAAGCTGGGTCACAAACTCTGGGTGATCCACTTTGGGAATGAGCACCACGGTTGACTCTGAGACCTTCGCAGGGAGAGCGCCAGAATTGAAGAAGTTTAGCGCCATATCAGTAAGAGATTTTCTAACTACGCTCCAGGCCTGCTGATAGAAAGCCGCGTGAAAGCCATCCGGACCGGGGGCTTGGAAAGGCTTCATCTCGAAAATTGCATTGTGGATATCCAAGGAAGTGAACGGTCTCAGCAGGGCAAGGAGTTCCTCTTGAGCAAGGCGGGGAAAAGCGTTCTTCGGCATCCTATCCTCATACACAGAGCTATCCTGCAGATAGAGATTAGTATAGAAATCAAACACCATACTAGCCAGAGCATGGGGGTCATCAATCCACACCCTTGTAGGGTCCCGAAGAGCAGTAATCTTGTTTCTATGCCTCTTAATGTTAGCTTATTGATGAAAGTAGTTGGTGTTACGCTCCCTAAACTTGACCCAGCTCTCTCTAGCCCTCTGGTACCAGATTAACTCCTCTTGCTCCAAGACCTCATCCAACTCGGCTTCAAGCTTGGAGTGAAGCTTCACCAGCCCAGGATGAAAAGCTTAAGAGAGGCGCACCTCCACTCCTCGAATCTGCCCCAGCAGCCTTTTCTTTTTCTGCTGAACATTTTCGAAAACATCCCTATTCCAGACCTGAAGCGCCGAGCTCAGATCTAGAAGCGCGGTCGGCAATGGGGCAGAGGGATTCCAAGCACCTGCAATAGTATTCAGAAGAGTATTATTAGTAAGCCAGGCAACTTCAAATTTGAAAGCACGAGGAGGGTGGAAGGAATGCCACTGATAAGCGAAGGAAGTGAGAATTGGACTGTGATCCGATTTGAGGCGGGGGCAGGTGGCGAACACTGGTGTTGGGGAGTATCGAATTCCACAAGATATTGCATAAGCTCCTATCAATCCTGCTAGCCTTGTATGTACCAGGATCCTCCCTAGTCCAAGTAAATCTGGGGCTAGAGTAACCAAGATCCACCAGATCAATTTCGTTAATCCTTTCGTTAAAAACACGACATCTCCGCAAAGTTGCCACTGACGCAGCCCCGGATTTCTCCAATGGAGTTCTAATGGCATTAAAATCCCCCGTAAGCATCCAAGATATGTCAATAGCTTTACTCTGAGCTGAGATGCTATCCCAGAGCGGTCACTGCCCGTTAGGCTGAGGAGAGGCATAAATCGCAGTAAGCATCCAGTCCGTCATGCCATTCTGAGAGATACGCATGGTGATTTGTTGGGAGCAGGCCAAGATGATTTGAATCTTGAATCATTGAGCGTCCCAAAAGATCCAAATGCCGCCTTGCCTCCCATCTGCCTCCACACGAATCACGTCCAGAAACCCCAACTTGTCGCAAACATTGTTAGCTGCATTGCCACTAATTTGCGGTTCCTGGAGAATAACAAGGTCCGGTTTATGAGTCTGAATGGTAAGCTTAAGAGCACGGGAAAAGGCTTTGCTCCCAGCACCACCTACATTCCAAGAGAGAATATTGTAACTATTAGAAGAATACATAAACATGGAAATAAAAACGAGCAGAAGAAGAAACAGAAGGGGGTTCAAGAACAATAGCACCAAATTAGATGGGGCTCTCGGCAGCAACGGCCAGGTCCTCCGCGTCGGCAGGGTGCTCAATTTGGGGTGGGCGAGCATCTCCTTGTATTAGCTTCGATCAGCTTGAACCGCCGCTCCAGTCCAGGCGTTAATCTCTTGAAACGTAAGAGTCGCCAATCTGGTTCTTGATTTGTTCTTCTTATCTTTCACAGGGGACCATATTTGAAGAGCCTTGGAGGCCTGAAACTTCACAGGCGTAGAATCCTTCTTAGAATGGAGCCGAGAATTCCTGTTCGATTTGGTGCGCTCTGCAGCCGACGGAGAACTGGAGTCCGGCTGCTGTTTCTTCTTTGGCGACGAGGGGACGGCCACGATCTGCATCTTATTTCCTTTCGGGCCAACAACCAGTTGGACCGGGGGTTGGTTAATGAGAAGGGGCCTTCTTTCCGATATGGGCCCAGGGCCCGCGATCAAAGGTTCTGCTTGATTAGGGCGATCGGAAGAAGAAGCGGCCGCTTGCGCCGAAGTAGAGGCCTTGTTAGAGGCCTGTTTGGGCTGGGAGACACTAGTCACACAATCAATCTGGGTTGGGCCAGAGCCCAAGATGCCTTTACCCAGTGCCTTGTCTTCATGCATGATTTCCTTCCCTTTATTAAGATCTCTGCCCACCCGTGTCGAACTGTCTCCTTCCTTACCCAAAGAGTTCCCTTTCCTTTCTTGACCTTGTGAACGTTGAGGCTCCGTGATTTTTGTCGCCATAGTTGCAGACGAGGCCATCTCTCCGTCTTTAATTTTATAGCCTCCTTTCCCATTTTTGTTTGCTTGTCCTTGATTCTCGTTGCCCAGATCATGCTCCAACTTTCCTTTCTTCATTGAATCCCTAGAGAAACGTCGGCTTTTTTTTGGAAACTAACATCCATGGCCCAAAGCCTGCTTTAGTCGCTTCCTCAACGGTCGCCTGCTTGGCCGGAGATTGATCGCCGACGATGGCCAATTGATCGCCGATCGTTGCAGGTTGAAGCATTGAGCAGCCACCAGAACTGTGGCCAACCTTCCCACACTCGAAGCACACCGTTGGGAGGTTTTCATACTCCACTTTCTGTCAGTGATATCCAAGAAAATCCGGGGAACTAGAGGTTTGGTCATATCAATCTCCACTGCCAAACGAGTGAACTTCCTTCGTTGTTGATTGATCGTATGATAATTGAGTTTGATTGTACGGCCAATAAGATTCCCCAAGGACGTGAGAGCCTCATGATGGTAGAAGTGAACCTTGAGGGCTGGAAGACGAACCCATACAATCATGGTCTTTGGCAAGGGGTCGAGTATCCCAAAATTAGGCGTCCATTGCTGAACCGCAAGGTAGTGATCGTAGATGACCCATGGTCCATCAGTGAGCGCCTTGAAGTAGTCCAGCTCATTAGATAGTTGCACGAGATAACATGCATCATCCAAATCCATAATTTCCATCGCTCCTTTAGGTTGCCATAACCCTCGAAGCCGGGAGCATAGTGTGGGAAAGATAATGCGAAGCACCAAGAGGCGCACAACAAGCATTTTTTGCCATGGAGCGCATAGACGCCCCTTGAATTCGGCCGAGTCCGCTGATACATGGTTCACCGGAGGCCCACATGGTGTCGCCACCATCAAAATAGATATCGAGTCATTCGGTGGCCGGCCAGAAGGAGTACGCGTCGGAGTCACCGTAGTAGAATCAGAGAGAGCGTTTTCTATCAGAGAGGGTTCATCTGATTCCAAACGGTTCACTCAGAATAAGCAATTAGAGACACATGTTTATGTAAAATCTAGAGATAAATACAATTTATTATCCATACCTTTCAAACTTTTCAAATTATTAGCCAAATCTTTTCGAAATACAAAGTATTAGTCGAACATTAACTCTCTTAAGCTTCATTTATTTATTTGACAAATCCTTAGTGAGGATCCTCCTTGCTTGGTTAGTTTTTTTTATAACATGTAAGACGCGTACGCTTGCATTCCATCCAAACAAAGAAATGCAAGTCGTCACAAAAGGATACAATAACATTTAGAGATTGAATCGGATCAACCATGTGGGCTTGACGAGCAACCCAATAAGCCAAAATATTGTGACGGTGGAGCACAAACTCAACTTTAAGCCACGAGGCTAAGCAAAGAAACAAAGATCATACCCGCAAAGATTGCTCCACATTGTCACGACCATTTGTTCACCGTAGCAGTATCAGAGAGACGTTTTCTATCAGAGAGGGTTCACCTGATTACAAACGTTTCACTCATAATAAGCAATTAGAGACACATGTTTATGTAAAATCTAGAGATAAATACAATTTATTATCCATACGTTTCAAACTTTTCAAATTATTAGCCAAATCTTTTCGAAATACAAAGTATTAGTCGAACATTAACTCTCTTAAGCTTCATTTATTTATTTGACAAATCCTTAGTGAGGATCCTCCTTGCTCGGTTAGTTTTTTTTTATAACATGTAATACGCGTACGCTTGCATTCCATCCAAACAAATAAATGCAAGTCGTCACAAAAGGATACAATAACATTTAGAGATTGAATCGGATCAACCATGTGGGCTCGACGAGCAACCCAATAAGCCAAAATATTGTGATGGTGGAGCACAAACTCAACTTTAAGCCACGAGGCTAAGCAAAGAAACAAAGATCATACCCGCAAAGATTGCTCCACATTGTCACAGCCATTTGTTCATGGGGTATTTTGGCTCCAGATTGAGCACTGAACAATATGCACATATGCAAATATAAATATTCTCATGGAATACCATCTTTATAGCATTCAAAAGTCCCAACGCTAATGTCTCGGTGAGAAATAGTTAATTTATGGCATAGGCCGTCCGTACCCGGGGAGAGCATTTTGTTTATCCGTGAAAGTGGGGTTTGACCTGGAATTAGTTCTTGGCCATGGCCGGCGGGAACATCTGGTGATCGGTAGGCTAACCTCCTTCGATTTGGCTTTGATTTGCTTACTACGTGGTGGCGTTGGGTCTGTGTGGTGGCACAAGTTAAAGCAAAGGAAGCGTATCAGAGAAGAATTCAGACATTTGAATTCTTCTCAATCCCACCTTCCAGATGACATCGTTTGCTCCAAAGTCACTACGACACCGCTTCGCCAACTGACGGAAATCAACACCCCGACGACGCCGTTTCACTAAGTCAACAGAGACCACTCAGAACCTGGAGCGACATCGTTTCAGGGAAAAACAAGACGGGATAGACATTTGCATCTTTAGTCCCTGAACTTATGTTTTTCTTCATTTTACCTGTTTCGGGTTGTACTTGCAGTTGAAGGAACCTTGTCTTCTTCTACAATTATGCTAGCTCACTTGTACTACTTTAAACAGCTATATAAGTTGAAACTTCAATGAGACAATCCAAGTTTTAAGGGTTTCCAACACAAAAGCGTTGTTATGGTATCAGAGCCTGGTTCTCTTGAATCCTAGGCGCCATCACAACCATGGATGACGTGAATATGAGCACTGATGGAGGAAATGCAGCAGCCAACACCAATGTTTCACATACCACCACACCTCAGGATCCAATGGCAGATCCATACTACCTTCATGGCTCTGAACAAACAGGGAAAATATTGGTCGCGGAGAAACTCACCACCACCAACTATAACGATTGGAACAAGGCGATGTACAATGCACTAGGAGGCAAGAGCCAAGAACAAGATTGGGTTCATCAATGACACTCTGGCTGAACCAGCAGCAGACAACTCGCAAGCCTGGTCTTGGAACAGGAACAACATCATGGTCCTGTCTTGGATCCAACAAGCAGTTGAGCCTGGGATTAGGAAGACAATCATGTCTTTCAAGACAGCTGCAGAAGCCTGGAGAAGCTTAAGGGCTCGATATGGACAAGGTGACATGGTGAGAATAGCAGAGCTGATAGAGGTTCTGGCCACCATGAAACAAGGTAACCAAACCCTAACTGAGTACTATGGTGAGATGATTGTTGTGAGGGATGAACTAGATAACTATCAGCCTTTAGATCCTTGTGACTGCACTCCCACTAGTCACTCCACTTGTAGGGCCATGAGACAAGTCATGGTTTACAGGGACACTGGCTATGTCATTCAGTTCCTCAAGGGACTCAATGAGAACTATAACACAGTTAGATCACAGGTTCTGTTCCAGGACACCCTCCCCTCTATTGATAGGGTGTTCCAAAGGATGCTTCAACATGAGAGACATCAGTATGGAAGCCATCAGACCAAGGTCCTAGCTATTGAGAGCACTGCCTTTGCTTCCCACAACAACATCCCCGCAAACAAAAGAACCAAACCCTATTGCACTTACTGCAAAGCACTAGGGCATACTGAAGATGTTTGTTATCACAAACATGGATGGCCACCGGGCATGACTCCTAGGGGTGTGACTTCCACTGGAAGACCAGTTGAGTGCACCCACTGCAAAAAACTTGGCCACACAGAAGACAAGTGCTACCAGAAGAATGGCTACCCTCCTGGAACTGGAAGAGGAAGAGGGAGACCTCAAGCCAATGCAGCTACCACTATGATTGGAGACAAAGGTCAGCAAGAAGTCAAGCTTACTAAAGCTGAGTATGAGAAGTTTATCCAGATGATGAGTTGATAACGATGTAATTGCACATATTTGCGCCCCTAGTTCTTATCCGTTTGAGGGGCATAGTCGTGTATTTTTTTGCCTATTTTATGCCGGGTTGTGCTATTTTGTCATATTTCAGGTCCCAGGCGTCAAAGGAAAGGCTAAGCACGAGTTTCGGGGCATTCGGAAGTCATTTCGTCGAGCTGGAGCCAAAACACGGGCACACCTAAAACAGAACACGACCGTGTTCTGTGGCCGTGCTTTTACTGCCTAGAGCAAATTCGAGTTTGGCTAACACGAGCTGATTACACGGGCAGGGCCGAGACAAAGCACGACCGTGTCCATCAAAGCACGACCGTGTCCTCCCCAAATCACGGCCGTGTTTGCACCAACAAGCTGGTCGTGTAATTAACCCTAGCCAAAGCACGGGCGGGCTGAGGCAAAGCACGGCCGTGCCCTCGACCGTGCTTTGGCCACTGATGCCCTTTTAAGCATATTTCAGCCAAAATAGAAGGGGATTAGAGTTTTAGAGAGACAGAGTGATTACTAGAGAGAGAAAGCGACGAACAAGAGTCTCCAAGTGCCCTAGCTTGATCTTCATCACCATTGGAGGCCAGTTTGAGCTTGGAGAAGTGCCGATCAACGTCCAGGAGCAGGAATCCATCCTTCACAGTATGAATTCCGCGTCTGATTCTGCTTTTGCTTCTTTCTCCATGGAGTAGTTCTCCCATTCATCTGGGTATGGAGAACCCTAGATTTGTATGTTAGGCTTTGATTGTATGAACCCTAGTACTGATTCTATGATTTGATTATATTCGATTGAGGTTTGAATGATTGAATGACTTGAATCCTGATCAAATTCCTGTTGTTTCTGCTTTGACCTAGAATGAGAATATCTGCCTAGGTTGATAGAGCATCCTTGATTGAAGGTAGGGAGTTGGTGACTTTAGTCGAGGAGCCAACTCACTATTCTGTACCGGATTTACTTCGGTAGTGGAGGTTTTGTTTGTTAAGGCCTCAATCTGTTTACTCCGGTGGAGGTTAGTCGCCCGCTAGAGATTCAGATTGAGAGGGTCTGAAGACCTTTAGTCGAGACTTCAGGTTGTTTATAGAAACTGAACTTGGTAATTACAATCCGGCTTAACTGCAGTCTAGGGGGAACCATATCCAGGTGACCTCTCTTAACCTGAATACAACCGTTTACTTGCTTTGTTAGTTTGTTAGTTTAGACTTGCATTAAAGTTTCATTGCTAGATAACAAGAATTCACTGAGTAGTCATCAAATCTAGGACCCGGGTTGACAATTAAACCCAAACCCGCTATACTACGCTTTAGGAAGTGGTTTCACTTGGCCAATTCCTAGAGTGACAGTAGAAGTGAGTCAAGTTTTTGGCGCCGTTGCCGGGGACGACTAGGTTGTTGAAGAAAAGTGATTTCTGTTAATTTAGCTTTTCTTTTCGCTTTGTTTGCTTTGTCCCACTTGTGCCTTCACGGGTTTGCTTGCTTGAGTGTGTGCAGGTAGTGCATGACCCGTAGCCAGTCAGGAGGTTTACTGCCGTTGAATCCAGAGATTGACCGCACCTGTCGCCAACTCAGGAGACAACAGCGAGCTAGACTGGCTACGGAAGAGCGCATAGACGGCCACCTGAGTAGCGATTCTGAAGAAGAGTACGGGATGGACGGAGACTACAATCCACACCAGGGGAATC